AAAGACTTCAGGTTGCTCAGATTAAAGATCAACATTCGTGAAAGCAGCAGTCAAGAAATCAAACAATGTGTTGCATTAAGTAAATATGCTGCATAAGACCTTTTTAAAGTGTTGAAGAGCAAAGATGTAAGCTTGAGGACTAAAGTGCGCCTGACCCAAGCCATGGTATTTTCAATAACCTCATACGTATGCAATGGCAGTGAATAAGGAAGACCATAGAAGAACTGATGTATTTTAGTTATGGTGTTGGAGGAGAATACTGAAAGTACCATGGACTTCCAAAAGAACCAATAGATCTGTGTTGGAAGAAATAAAGCCATAGTGCTCCTTGGAACTCAGGATGGCCAGATTTCATCTTCCATATTTTGGACATGCTGTCAGGAGGGACCAGTCATTGGAGAAGGATATCATGTTTGGTGAAGTGGAGGGTCGGAGAAAAAGAGGAAGACCCCCAACAAGATGGACTGGCACAATGGCAACATCAATGGCTCAGGCTTGGCAATGATTGTAAGGTGGACCAGGATCAGGCAGTTTCGTTCTGTTGTACATAGGGTCGCTATGAGTTGGTCCTGACTTGATGGCACCTAACAACAACAACAACCCAAATTTGGCATTGTATGCTTCAGATATTCATACCGCACACATGTGGTGTGTATTTGTATATACACATGTACATGTTTCTCATTGCTTTAATATTTATAATAGCCAAGGACATTTGGAAACAAACCAAATGGTCAAGGAAGGGAACAGATGAAATCCATACAATGGAAACAACTCAGTCATTAAAAAGGAGGAAGCAACGCTTGGCCTCCTCTATATAGTGACATGAAAAGACCTCCAAGAGGTATTAATGAAAAAGCAAGACAAGGAATTGTGTTTAATATTAGCACAATGTAGAAAATGTATTGTCTTAATAAAAATGTATTTATCAGTGATTTCTTACATCTCCAAAAAGGAAAGGAATACAAGAAACTAATAAGGTAGAAAGAAGCTCCTGATGAGGACGGTAGCGCTGTTGGAGTAGGCATGTGAATTTGGTTTCCAGGTTGTACTTTTTTAATCATGTAAATGTATTATCTATTTAAAAATTAAACAAATTATGTTCTCATAGCCCAAATCTTTTTCCTTCCTCAGACTCCTTAATGCATTCTTTGGGGTGGAATAAGGCAGTGAAGAGTGAGGGTCAGGACAGGTAAACCTTAACCAGTTACTGTCAAACTGATTCCAAGCCCATGTGTGTTCAGAGTAGACCTGTGCTTCCTAGGGCTTCAAAGATTGATGATTCAAAAGTAAACTGCCTAAGGCTTTCTTCCAAGCCAACTTCGGGAAGGCTCGATTCTGTAGCCTTTTTGATTTGCGCTTTGTTGTTGTTGTTAGTGCCATTAATAGGTTCCAGCCCCTAGCAACCTTGTTTAGGGTTTTCAAGAAGCGGCTGGTGAGTTTGAACCACTGACCCTGAGATTCAAGCTGACCTTGCTGTCCAGCGCATTAACCCACAGCACCACATCAGGATCTCCTCTGAGAATACATGTTTTCTTTTTTTGGAGTACACAGTCCATGAAGAAAGAGACTAGGACTTTTCTGGGTGGTCTGACTAAATGCTGCACTCCTAGATTTACATCCTGTGCCTTAGTTTATTATCTAGTCTCCCCTGGACTTTACCCAGGCAAACCCAGGGAGCACTTATGATGCCTGCCTTGATCCTTTCGGGCTTGTCAGCACCCATGCTTACTCCATATAAACATGCTCTTCTTCTGGTCCCTCATTATCTTCCACTTACACATTGCATTATGCATTGACAGTAGTGTTGTTTACACACAATAGCAATAACTTAACCTAGCTTTGTAATATAGCCTAATTTACATGCGCCTACCAGAAGTGTCATGTAAATAATGTCAGTATAATGCAGATGAACAAATATGTATTGAATACAAAATATCAAGCTCACAACTTAGCTTAACTTGCACGAAGCACGCTAGTACTTTCCAGAACACAGTAATAAATTTGTATGTTTGCTGGTGAAGATAAATTCTATTGACACTAAAATAAAGAAGTTACCCCATGTTTTCTAGCACCGATCCTTGGCAGATCAAATGACTGTCTGAATTATTCCTTCCTGCATCTAACTTTATTTACTTAAGATCTTTCCACATTTTCTTCTTTCTGTTTCTCTAGGACTTTAAGTTCCTAATACAGGGAAGCTAATCTCCTTTAATGGCCCACACTTGAAACATTTATAAAGCACTGTGTCTTTAACTGAGATCCAATTAGAAACAAATGGCTCACTTAGAAGATGTCTCTTGCTTGGTTTAAAACAACAACAAAAACTTCCAATGAAGTTAAATTTCTATAGTCCTTTAGGACACAGAGTCATTTAGAATTTTGAGGAAAAATACAAAGAGTCTTTGGGGAAGCAGAGAAGGATAAAAAGAATTCTCAGCAGACTGTCAACTTCCTGAATAAAAATATTAAAGATAAAAATAGCTTCCCAACTCAGCCATTCTTTGGGATTGATCATTTATTCGGATAGTTCCCTAAAGACGGGAAGAGGAGAAAAAGAGTACACTTGGCTCCCCTCACAGAAATTATTCACAACTCATTTCCCTCAGAATAATGGACTATTAGATCTTCCATAAAATCCTTTTCAGTAATTTTATGGTGTGTCTCTGCATTTCACAATCCAATTTCTTTGTAACCACGAGAAGAGAAAAACCAACCAACAAGAGAATCATTTTATAAGAATTCATCCCACTGATTTTATTAAATTTCCAATTCCAAACCTTTCAACCCTCCAATAAAAATTAAAAGACTGTTTCTGAGATTCCTCTTCTGTTCAAAAACTGCAAGTTTCATGACTGCCATCTACTGCCAGGAAAAATATGACAACTTATTTAAAAAGCTCCACATTTTCTCTAGCGTTTTCCATTTTCTAGGATTTTCAATATTTTATATTAGCAAAAGATTGAATGCTGCAAAATTGGGCATTCAGACATTTATATCTTTAAGTTCAAATTAATTTACCATACAATAATTTTTGTCTCGTTGTGTGCCATGGATTCGGTTCTGACTCACAGTGACCATGTATAGAGTTTCCAAGGGCAGTTGGTGGGTTTGACCTGCTGATCTTGTAGTCAGCATCCTAGTACTTACCCTACAGTGGCTCATGTGATAATGTTGTTATTGTTGTTAAGTGCCGTTGAGTCGATCTCGACCCATAGCGACCCTGTATAGGGTATCTAAGGAGCAGTTGGTGAGCTTGAACCACCAACACTGCAGTTCAAACAAGTTTGCAGTTCGACGCATTAGCCTACAGCGCCACACCAGGACTCCTATAATACCAGGACTACATAATAATAGTTCTGTTTTTAAAACAAACACACCAGGACTCATATAATACCAGGACTACATAATAATAGTTCTGTTTTTAAAACAAACACACCAGGACTCATATAATAGTTTTGCTTTTAAAAGATATAAAAATTTGGTGTTTCTTTGTATAATTTATTGCTTTAAGAAGTCATGTGATAGGTGGTAATGTGCCATGGAGTCTGTTCTGACTCATAGCAACTCCCTAGGCTGTAAATCTTTATGAGAGCAGAAAGTCTCACTTTTTGTCCTCAGAGCAACTGGTAGATTAGAACTGCTGACCTAGAGGTTAGCAGTTTAGCTCATAACCACTACACTACTAGAGCTCTTTAAGAAGTCATGTAATTCTGTATACAGGGTTGATAGGGACAGGCAATTTAGACATTGGCTACCTAAAATTAGGGGACAATAAAGGCACGAAGTGACTGACTTCCAAGTTTTCAATAGGGAGTTTAGGTTCAGAGTGTGCGGGGGAAGGTAGAGTCCCCACTGAATAGTTTTCTTCCTGTCTAGATGAGTCTGGTAAAAAGAGATGGGGTTAAGATTCTTATGATTCAATAGTGAGAAACTGTTCTCATGAATATCTTCACAACTGTAAAGGTAAAAGTTATATAACAAAAAGTGGGCAGTAGTTAATCTTACAGGCCAGGAACAGAGGACCCTAGGACCATCAAGGGAGAAGAGCATGAGCAGAATATGAGACCCTATCCAGAGAAGCAGCAACACCAGAGATGGAGGCAGAGATGAGGACATGGAGAGAGAGAGAGAGCAGCTGAGGACTCTAGACTCACGGAAAGAGAAAGGCTGAGTGTTGGTGGCCAAGAGGCAGGCTTGCAGAATGTGCCCTTTGGTGGTTCAAATTATTATATATTCCTGAATAATTTTGTGTACATCTCCCACACCAAAAACAAAAAAACAAAACAAACAGAGGGAATAGAAGCAAATACTGTTGAATGATGATGCACGGAGGAAAGTTCCGTTGCAATGAAATGATGAGTGTCAAACCGATGTTCTTCTATGTAAACTATCACTCAATTCACAATAAAAATGTAAAAAAAAAAAAAAAAAAAGAAGAAGAAGTCAGGTAGCATCAATTTAAATTTTGTTTTTATCTACATGGATACTGGTCTACATCATGGTGTAATGATTGCTATTTCACAATTTAACTGGTAAAATTAAACAAAGCACATATGGTGGAAATCTCTCATGAGGTATGTCACTAACTTTAAAAAACAAAACCAGCTGCCATTAAGCTGACTCTGACTCATAGCAACCCTTGTGTGTCAGAGTAGACTTGTGCTCCATAAAGCTTTCTATGGCTGATGATTCGGGAAATAGATCACCAGGCCTTTCTTCCAAACTGCCTTGAGGTGGATTTGAACTGGCAATTTTTAGGTTCACAAACCAGTGCTTAAGTATTTGTGCCATCCAGGGACTGATTACTCGATCTCTAGAGGCAAATGAATTCTGAAAACCACAGGGCAACTCCTCTAATACACAGTACATACAACTGCAAAACTAACTAGAATTTCTTTGAGATAACATATTAGCTTGAGGGGAAATGTTTATAATTGTATATTCAGTCTTTGCATGAAGGAAGCGGGTGAGTACGTGTAATAAAGAATGGAACATACCTGGCTTAAAATGTGGTAAAGAATGAACTCCAGGCCATGTGTCCTCATTTGGTGTTCCAAGAACCTAGTGGAGAGGAGAAAATTGTGGAAACAGACTTATTATTTCTAAAGCACTCAAAATTCTCTAGTATAAAGAACAGTACACTGCACATTACGAAACTCTGGAGTTGTTTTTCTTTTTTCCATTGACATGTGCCAGGGATTTTATTTCAGTGAAAACAAGCCCAGCTACATACAGAGCCACCCAAGATGAATCCCTGTGTTTTAACAAATGCAGTGGAATGTGATAAGACAAGTCAAATCTGTTTTGTTTTACTAACTCCAAGCTAATGGCAGGCTTAGAACTCAGACATAAGCTGTCATCTTCATAGAACAGAGTAAAGGATGTTTGGGTCCCTCCTGATTCTTTCATGAGTTTTGATCCTTCCTCCGATTATCACGCGTCTCTCCATTGACCAGATCTAATTCTGTCAAGTCTTCTCCCACATTCTAGCTTCTGCGCATCAGAAGACTTCAAAGGAGCATGACCAACAGCTTTGAGTGCTCAAATTCTCTACGGGTTGGATTGCTCACTACAGATACATTTTTTTTTTTTTTTTAAATCATGTCATTTATTTTTCCACCTTGACAAAATGTTCTTCCTATACCTTTCGCATTTTTTTTTAATTCAAACTTCCATGTTCTCCCATCTACTTCAAACTTCTACCTTCTCCCATCTACTTCTGCATCACCACAATGCTTGGAGGTGGTGGTGTTCTGGGGAGTCAGTTCTGACTCATAGTGGCCCTGCATAGGGTTTCTGAGGCTGTAAATCTTTATGGGCATATAAAGCCTCATCTTTCTCCCATAGAACTGCTGGTAGTTTTGAACTGCTGAGTGTGAGATTAGCAGCCCGACTCATAAAGACTATGCTACCAAAGCTCCTTAGTAAAGCTCCTTAATTTGGACAGCGATTGAAAGGGCAGTTCTATCTCACATGTAACTGACATTTTCCAATTCTGTGATCTATCACTATTATACTCCATGACCATGTAATAGCCCAGACCCTGGAGACAGAATCCTTGGGTTCAAAATCCATGCTTTACTACTTACTAGTCATGTGGTTATGAGCAAGAAACAACTTCATTGAACTACGGTTTCCTCATCTGTAAAGGGGGTTCATAACAGCACCCACAGCATTTTTGTTGAGAATACAGCCTGGTAAATAGTAAGCATTAACCCACCAGTTGCTCCTGGGAAACCCTATACAGGATCGCTATGAGTTAGAACTGAGTTGATGGCACTTAACAACAACAAAGTCAGTAGTAAATATTTTTCAAATCACCCACAGAAAATTGGGTCAGACCAGGAACGTGAGGGTGAGATGGGAGACCCTAATCTACCCACTTTTTTAGTGACTCCCAGTTCAGAGGAGTCAACATCAGAGCTGTAATCCAGGCTATGATGATGAACATGATAAGCCAAACAGATTAGAAACCGGAAACTGACAAAGGAAGAGGAAGAATGGTAGATATCCTGGAAGGAAATTAATCATGTTGAGGAATAGCAGGAATATCTAGGGCAATACATAGCTCTGATAATGTGTCATTTATTAGGAGAGACAGAGCTGTGATCTCAAAGGGAGCATCTACAAGTGAGTGGTTTATTTACTGCTTCCTACTCTGGTGAATCAGGGTTAAATACATGTATTTATGTTTTTCATTGAAACAATGAATCTGGGATAAAGAGATAATCCAGTTTTTCCTTTAAACTATAATTGGTTAGTTTTGTAAGTACTAATTATTACTAGGGAGTCCTGCTGTGGCGCTGTGGGCTAATGTGCTGGTCTGCAAGGCCACTTTGAGCTGCAAGGTTGGTGGTTCAAGCTCACCAACTGCTCCTTGGAAACCCTATATAGGGTTGCTGTAGGTCGGAACCAACTCAATGGTGCTTAACAACAACAACAACAACAACAATTATTACCAGTATCAATAAATAGATCTATACAAACAAGGTCCCATTATTGATGGTCTAGATGGGTAGGGAAAGGCGACAGACAAGAGGGTTGAAAGGGTTCTAAGACAGAAGAGACAAGGACATTGTCTCTGACATAGACACTGTGTTAACAGTGTTTCAGTAAAAGGCATTTCCCCCTTTTTTGTAAATAATTCTAACCATTTATTGCAAGACAGGAATACCATCAAGTTTGTGAACAGCAAACAGCCTATCTGGAGAATGTTCCACTTTGTTTCCACACTAAATTTTGTATAAAGGGCCAGGGAGTACAATAATACTAAACTTTAGCAACTAAAGGGTGGAAATTCTAGCAACAAAACTATAACTTAGACACAGCCAACTAATTACATAATTATGTTATGTGTCACATAATGTCCATGGTATGTTGCGTGAAATAAGATGCCATCTGACTTGTGTGAACACCATATTATACACAGGCAGTACCTGTATTAAGAATGAGTCCATTTCTAAGTCTATCTTTAAGTTGAATTTATATGTGAGGCAGAACAGTTTGGTACAGTTTGTATTTAGTTTCAGTTAGTTAATTGTTTGTCTTAGTACAAACTCTTTATGTATTGACTATCTTGTTATCTGACACTTCACATTTACAACAGTAAAACATTTACTATCTGACACTTCACATTTACAACAGTAAAAAATAATGCACAACTATTTTGTGCATTAACTATGAACTATTGTGGCGCTATGGGTTAATGCGCCAAACTGCAAAGCCATTTGAACTGCAAGGTTAGTGGTTCAAGATCACCGGCTGCTACTCAGAAACCATATACAGAATCACTATGGGTCAGAGTCGACTTGATGGCACTTAACAACAACAACATGGCAGTAAAGTAGCACCGTAGGATAAGCACTCGACCTCAAGGGCAGTTTGAATTGTAAGGTCAGTGGTTCAAGCACACCAGCCGCTCCTTGGAAACTCGATACAGGGTTGCTATGAGTCAGAAACAATAAATGGCAGTAATGGATATTGAGCTGGGAGGAGAGGGTAATGCTGGTTGTAATGGTTAAGGTTACATGCTAACCTTAACTGGGCATGTTGACATGTTCTCAGTGGTTTGGCAATTATGTAACTGTGAAATGTGGCAGTTACGTAATGATGTAATAATCAACAACATTTAGTGATCTGATGTGGTCTTCCTCCATTTTTGCATAACAGTCTGGTCCTTGGAATCTAATCATGTTGCTATGTGAGGAGTGAATGTATATAGTGTAACTTTCTATCCATACAGACCACCTTCTTGCCAACCCACTTCCTCACCATCCAGGCAGCATGCCATTCAGCTCCGTGCATCATCTGCCTGCCTGGACTCAACACTGCTACCTTCATGTGGCAGTAGTCCGTTTCCAGTTCTCACCAGTTCATCACGGCCGCACAGGTTTCCCAACTGCCACTGTTATGAACTTCCTCAACGCCCATCTAGATGATCCAAAGGGCACATGGCATTGTGACCTCCTTTGCCTTCCTGAGAATTACCAGAGGAAATACCGTTTCTACCATGGCCTTTACTGACCCCAGCTCTCCTATATTGCTGAGGATGACGATGGGAAGATTGTGGGCTATGTTCTGGCCAAAATGGAAGTGGATCCAGGTGATGTCCTTCAGGGACATATCACCTCACTGGTCGTGAAACATTCACTCTGGTGCCTTGGCCTGACCTCAAAGCTGATGGGTCAGGCCTCCAGGGCCAAATATGTGTCCCTGCATGTCAGGAAGAGTAACTGGTCAGCCATGCACCTCTAATACCCTCAACTTAAAGGTTAGTGAATACTATGCAGATGGACAAGATGCTTATGCTACAAAGCGAGGTCTTTCACAGATGCTGGTGAGCTGAGGCAGCAGTTGGAGCTGGAGAAATGCAGCTACGCGGTGCTGGGCTGCAGGGAGAATGAAGCAGAGACCCAGGTTAATTCACTTCCTGGTGCCACAGAGGTCTATCAGGAGGAAGGCCCATAGCTAAGGATGGTGGGAGTGATAAACCATGAGCCTCAAAATCTAGGACAGCTCAGAAGACTTGGATTCCACCACCTAGAGCCTACTTGAGAATAGCCACATAACTGATAAAGTAATTTCTTTATAGGAGATTTCTATCAAGGATGATAGGATTAGAGAATCACTATAATACAACTCTTGATGAAATAATACGCAGCCTTCATCAATGGTTTTTAAGTGAACATTGGAGAACTTTATAATAATGAATCAAGCTGACGGAACTTGAAGTCAATGATCCATCTTACTATCACTACTTTGTCCTAATACGGTCACTAGGAGTCAGAATCCACTTGATGGCATTGAGTTTGGTATACACACACACATACACACACACACACACACACACACACACACACACACATACTCTGCCTCGTAACCAAGGTTAGCACAGGCCTACTTTGTTTGCTTTCTAGTCTGTAGTGAAGTTTCATAATTTTTAATTGCATCAATGATGTAGTGAATCCCATGTGAGGTTATTCACGGAAGCTTAGTGGCTAGGCACATGTTATCATGTTTGTTGGATAATCTGACTTTGTGTGTTCCAAGGTAAATTAAAGGTATTACTACTAGGACTCAGGACTCCTGATGTGGTGCTGTTGAATCAGCACTGGACTGCAAATCATAAGGTCGGAAATTCAAACCCATCAGCTGCTCCTAGGAAACCCCACAGAGTCGCTATCTGTTGCCAACTCGAAGGCACACAACAACTTGGGTTCCAGTTCACATACACAGGTTTATTTTATATCACACATGTTTAAACATATCTCTGCAATCTGTGGATGACTGCAAACTGGTTCTCAGAGAAATACACTTTTTTTTAGTATCATTGGTGGTTGGTGGTGGTTACTATGTGCCTTGGAGTGGGTTCTGACTCATATCAACCCTGTATAGGGTTTCCAAGGCTGTAAATCTTTACAGGATCACAAAGTCTCATTTTTCTCCCACAGAATCTCTGGTAGTTTCAAACTGCTGACCCTGAGGTTAGCAACCCGACTCATAACCATTATGTCACCAGAGCTCCTGTTAGTCTCATTCGGGTGCCTTCAAAAGACAACAGA